TCACAGGTCACGAGACCCGTTTCCCGGGCACGTCTTCCTTCCATTTGGGTATTTCGAGGTGGATCGGAGAGAAGAGCCGGTGGAGCTGAGAGGCTCTTGGTCTGTGAAACTTGTTAAGATACAGGTCACTGATCCCTGTCCCGTCTTTAACTGTGCAGTGGAGTCTGGGCACAAAGCCACCGACAAACGTGACAGGGTGAGCTGGACAGTTAGCAGAGAGCGTGGGAAGTGCAGTGTACGTGACGTGGGCACTTGTTCCATGGGGAAGGGATCGAAACTGTTAAATTGTATATTCACGACTTGGTTACTCAGAGAAGGTTCTGTACTGTAGCAAAAGTAAAAGCAAACCAGATGGCCACGCCGGGCTGGAAGGAATGTGGAATTTGGCTCGGGGAACACTGTGTGGTGTCCGTGGGCTTCTTAGCACTTGTATCGGCCGTGCTGATTCTTTGAACACTTACTGTGCACCTGCTGTGTCTCAGGCACTCTGCAGGGCGACAGATGAAAAGATGATTACGATTCGGTCTGTCGAGTAGAGGTGGGTAGAAGTAGATCGTCAGAGTGTCAGAGCTGCGCTGCGAGAACCCGACGCAGGCAGGGGAGTGAGGTCGGGAAAGACCGAGATGGTCGAGATGGTCCGAGAATCCCTGGCTCCCAGGCGGGGCCAGGACTGGTGGAGCCCTGGGCCAGCTCGGCCCCTCCTCACAGGGAAGCTCTGTGAAGGCCTCTTCTCTTTCGCTGTCTAATGCACCTTCTCACCTGTGACTCAGGTGTCAGCGGGAACTGGATCGAGATCGCCTACGGCACCAGCTCAGGAGCCGTGCGGGTGATCGTGCAGCACCCCGAGACGGTGGGGTCGGGCCCGCAGCTCTTCCAGACCTTCACGGTGCACCGCAGCCCCGTGACGAAGATCATGCTCTCGGAGAAGCACCTCGTGTCAGGTAGGGGGTGGTGGGGCTGCCACGTAGGACATGTCACATAAAGCCTGCCTGCGTCGTTTCCCAGACGCCTACGGGCTGGGAGACTCTCCAAGTCGGAGTTCATGGGGGGAAAACACACTGAAAGCTGGTGCAAAAGCTGAACGACTGGCGAAGTGTTAGGCTTGTCCTCAAAGGATTTCTTTGACTTTGCATGGCTGTAGTAGACATAAGTGTCGGGGGTATCGTTTCTTTTATTTACTCTCTATTCTGATATTTTGTTCTCTATCATAATTCTGTTGAAAGGTTTTTTCTTACAGAAACCTTCCAAGTATGACTTTGATATACATTTGGTTGCACTGTCTTAAGGTTTAAAGCTAAAATTGTAAAAACAAACAGAATTTATACAGAGGTTATTTGAAGAAAATAACACTTTTGTGAGTTTGTTGTTCCTCATAGTCAAACAATTTTCAGGGTTAATGAGTGGGACACACACAGTAACATGACCAAGTAAACATCGCTGACGAGACGCTTGTCACTGACGGGCTGTATAGGCCTGAGCCGGGAGGACCCTGGGGCCTGCCTCTACCTCTCAGGCTTCTGTAGGTCAGATCCTGCCTAACTCTGTGTTCTGACAAACATTTTCATACACGAGGCGATGCTTCCTTCCCAGTTCTTCAGCCCCAGTAAATACCAGGTGGAGCTGAAACACTTGTCAGTGGATGAACAGGCTTTTACCGGGCATCTAGTTGTTTGGGGTATAATTGGGCCTTTCTGGAACCGTCTCTCCTCTAGTCTTTCATAAACGTGTAAAGTCAGGTCATTGGATCCTGTGAGAAACACTGTTTTGCAGGGTTGTGATTTTTACGTGACGATACTTAGAAATCTCAGTAGTAATTGCTGTTAGTTCAGTGGTGACGCTGTTGTAGCATGTGCCAAAGAACTGCATAGTAAAACTTGCATTTTAATATCAGCTATTTCATGCAGGTTTGAAATTTTAAGTAAATTTATCAAGAAAAATGTCTAGCTTAGCCAAAAATCTGGAATACTCTGTGCACAGTGCGCAGTTACGTTATTCTGCCCCCTGGTGGACGTCAGTATAAGTTTAACGAGAGTCTTTTCTCCAGTGTTAATTTTCATGTTTTAATGAAAAACTTTACATAATGATTAATAGTAAAATTGCCGTAATTGAACCAAATAACAAAATCTGCCTTAATTTAAATATATTAAAATTTTTCTGAATCCTAGTAAGGTTAATAATGAAATCATGATATTTCCCATGAAGCTTAGTAAACAGCATGGAACTAAATGTCTTCTTTTAATCTGAGAATTTTGTCACTCAAGTAACATTTGTATGTTTTTTATTCTTATTGCAATTAGCCAAAATTAAATTTCTTTCTGAAGTTTTGTTTAAAAATGTGCAACTATGGCATTTTACCTAGTAGGAAGTGCTGTGTACATGCAGTAAACTTTGGATATTTTCCTGGTATTTACTGATGAGTTCATAGCTCATTGCTAATAACAAGTTTCTGAAATCGTAATGTATAATTAGTACAGTTTTTTAAGAAGGTGTGACTCAAAAGTGCAGTTATTGCATTCATATTTTTTGGTTTATATTTTTTAATGATGTTTAGACCAAAACAAAAGAGATAGGTTACTTGTTAAGATTATCTCAACATATGCCCACTTAATATTACATGAAAAAATAAGCTAATTGGAGTATGTTTTTAAAAGACAGACTCCTATTTGATATGAAAGTTATCAGCTTTACATGGAATCTTAATTTTTCTTAATGTAACTTTGGGCAAAAAGTAGCTGGTTCCTAACAGCTTTTTGACAAATGTCATTTGTGACAATAAATTTTCTGTGACTCCTGGTCTAGGTTATTTAATATTTGAGTAACTTAAGCACAAAGTTCCTATGGTTTAAAAACGTAAACCGGGCAGCTTGTTCACTGTCTTCTCTCTTACAAATGCTTTTTCTAAACCCTTTCTCCCCTGCAGGCTCCTTTTACAAGGACCCATAGGTTTACTTACATACCTTACATTGCAGTAAGGTAAACCATATCCAGGTCTCTTTTTTGATGGCTAGGTATAAATTAAGTATAATTTTAAGGTAAAAATGTCATTTGCCACACAAAAAATGTGCTATGATCTATGTAATGTACATCGCAGTAAAGTTCAGATGTGTTTATAGAACTGATTTTGTTGGTGCTCTTATATCTGAAGGTAACAGCTCGTTTCTGTCTCTTTCTCGCCTAGTCTGTGCAGATAACAACCACGTCCGGACGTGGACGGTGACACGGTTCAGGGGCATGATCTCCACGCAGCCCGGCTCCACTCCCCTTGCCTCCTTCAAGATCCTGTCCCTGGAGGAGACGGAGAGTCACGGCAGCTCCTCTGGGAACGACATAGGTGAGGGGTTCACCTGGGGCACTCGCAGGTACCACGTGGGCAGCGCAGAAGCGTTAACAGTAGTAGAGACCTAAGCATGAGTTTTACATAAGAATCTTTCATTTTAATTATGGTATTCAGAAATTTAGTACGTTTTTTAAGTTCTGTAAATTCACAAAATTATAACATCAGTTTTCGTGTTATTAGCATCACATACCTTTGTGAAGAATACTTTTGTATTATTTTAGCTGTTGAGTATGGTGGGAAAAGAGAATTATTAAAACCTTATATAAGTTTTTCATTAAAACACTTTTTCTTTGTATTGTTGCTCAGAATGTTTCTAAAACGGATGAGCCAATCCTTCACAATAAAGTAGAAATAATTGATGCTTTCTTTTTAGATTGAAAACTTTGCAGGGTGCAATAGGCTTCTGATCAATTAAATTCTATTTAATGAGGTTGCACTTTATTTTTAAGATTTTGCATGTTGGCTTTTCAAAAAAAACCCTAAAATCAATACGGAAAGGAGCACATTCTCAAAGGTGGTAGATGTGGGGCTTCGTTTTAACAGGTTTCCTTCTGGGACTGATAGTGCCCAGTCCTAAGCTGATTAACAGCCTTAGTGCTAAAAATATAATTTTGAAATAATGTGTTTCTTTAAGAGTTTCTCTAGTGCAAGGTGAAGTCCTCGTATCGCACTGCCGTCAGTCTGGTGGCCTGGGCGCGCCGTGCCGCGCGGATCGGCGTGGAGGACCCTTTTCTCCCCCAGTATTAACATCAATATTCTTTTTGTTAAAGGAAACCAGTTACATTTTAATCAGCTCCTTTGCCATTTTCTGTCTTCTGACCCAGGGCCTTTTGGAGAGCGAGACGACCAGCAGGTCTTCATCCAGAAGGTGGTTCCCATCACCAACAAGCTCTTCGTCAGGCTCTCCTCCACCGGGAAGCGGTAAGGCCGCGCCGACGCCTGGACGCGCACACACAGTGTTGAGCTCTTGACATTTTCACATGGGTGCGCCAGAAACATTGTTGAGAGAAGTCCATTCGTCACCTTGTGATCGTTTAAACTTAGAATCGGGACAGTGTGTTTAGCGCTCACTCCCTAGGATATATTTAAGATGTTCTCTTGCTGTGGACAGTCGGACAGACGAGTGACCCAGCCAAACTAAACTCTAATCCCGGCTCTTCCTCTCACTAGCTGTGGACACTCAGCTCAGGTACTTTGTTTCTCTGAGCCCCGGTTTCTTTATAAAAGAGGGTTCAGCTACCTTGGTAGGATGTCATAGGAGGACCTGAGTTGGAGCATGTGACCCACCTTGTGGAGCCCTGACTAGAACGGAGGCCAAGTAGAAAAGTTTCCTCTTCCTTTACCATTTGACTGAAATTTTACTGTTTTAAAATATATTATTTACAGCCTCAAACACATTGAGCTACAACATTCCTTTTCTATAAAAACATATTTTTTGCATGTCGCAAAGTGATGTTCCAGCAGTCACTAAGAGGGCTGTGGATGCCCACGCTAATGTCACCAACGCTGATGTTTTTCATAGTTTCTCGGTTCTCTGTCAGCATGTGATTTCTAATTTCTTACTATTTTAATAAACTTTATATCAAAGTCCATTGCATATAGTCACTAGTAGCTATTAAGTGAACTGATTCCAGAACATTTTATGCACTAAACTTTTTTTAAAAAAAAAAAGCTGACAAAAAGAAAGTGTATTAGGAGCCTGTAAGGTAGAGACCGAGTTACCACCTGCAGGAGGCTGCAGATCACTGTGACTAGTGCTCGGTGCAGATATGAAGAGGCTGCCAAATGTTTATTAAAACCGCTCACAACAGCCTGCGACGAGGTGGTGGTTCACGTCCTGCGCAGTCCTAACCTCTCCCTCCCTCTCAGCTCACGGGGCGGCAGCCTGCTGCACCGACCACACTTCCTGCCTGATGACACACTATCGTTTCAACTTGATCCCAGAGGAAAAGCTGTATTTATAAAAATAACCAGAAATTACTCTGTATTACTGAGTAGAGTATCAGCCCCTCCTGAAGCTGTTTACAGACGCTGAGGTGCTGGAAACAGTGAGAGTTCAGGCCTGATGGAGGATTCGACTCAGGTCTGTCCACGCAGCTGCACATTGGTTCTCCTTCCAGATTTTTAAAATTTACAAACTTTAAATGGCTTCTCAAGATCTTTTCTAGTTTGATGTCTGTAACTTCCTTTGGAAGAATTGCTCATTTCCTACCAAGGCTCTTTCAAGATTGGCCTAAATTATTTGCCAGATTTCAATTACTTAATTATTTTATGAGAACCTTTTCACTGGACTCAAAGAAACAAAGTTTGACCCTGACTCCTGCTGACTTGCCTTGCCCCCTTTACATCCGTCTTACGTATGCGGAGGATTCAACCGTAACTTTGCAGATCCACTTCAACACTGACTGCTGTTCCCCGCGGTTTGCACCTGCACGGTGTCTTGCAGGATCTGCGAGATCCAGGCTGTGGACTGCACTACCATCTCCTCCTTCACCGTGAGGGAGTGCGAGGGCTCCAGCCGCATGGGCTCCAGGCCGAGGCGGTACCTGTTCACGGGCCACACCAACGGCAGCATCCAGATGTGGGACCTGACCACCGCCATGGACATGGTCAGCAAAAGCGAGGACAGGGGTAGGTCTCCTGGGAAAAGACACGTGGGGCAGGCTAGCCCGTGGCCTAGTGATTGTAAAGCGTGTGCTTCCCTAAGACGCAGGTGGCCCGACCGAGGAGGAGCTGCTGAAGCTGCTGGACCAGTGTGACCTGAGCGCGTCCCGCTGCGCCACCCCCAGCATCAGCCCGGCCACCTCCGTGGTCCAGCACAGCCGGCTCCGGGAGTCCAGCTCGAGGTAGGCGGAGGGCTGACTGGGGAAACTGGCAGAGAGAGAGTAACGGTTCTTAAAAGCCATGTTTTCTAACTACATTTTAAATTCAGACTTTATGTTGCTATTTAACCCTTTTTAAATAAAGGTTTACTAAATTTCTCCACTGTGTACATCAAAGGGAATTAGAAGAGTCCTATGTGACCCTGGACAGTGTGTGGCACTTTGTTCCTGTGGCCGAGGGACATAGTGTTCAAGTGACCGTCTTATCTACTCATTAGCATTCTGCAATTTATTTTTTATTCTACTGAGATGTGATTGACCTACGGCACTGTATTAGTATGAATCATGTACTTTTAAGACAGTGACATGGTATGTTTTTAGTTAACATATTAAAAAACCCAAAATCTAAACTTATGGCCAAATACTGAATTGTTGGTTCTGCCTTGGTTTTTAAAGTCTTTTATCCCCAGCTTTTTTCAGCTATTCAAAAATTTATCTTGAGTTATAAAAATCATTACGTGGATGTAAAGTACAGCCTAAGGAATATAGTCAATATTATAATAACCTTATAGTGTCAAATGGGTACTAGACTTATGGGGTATCACTTCGTAGGTTACATAAATGTCCAATCACTGTGTTGTACACCTGAAATTAATATAATACTGTCTGCCAACTGTAGCTGAAAAGGAAATCCTGCTTCACTGAATCTCTATTATATTTACATTATAGTTTCATATACACAAAGTATTTAAATATATTTTTATATACAGAAGGCTATAGTATTCTTTATATACTTCTATAGTGTGTGTATACTCTAGTCTAATTAACGAGATGTGCCCCTGAGAGTCTCAAAAGATCTGAACTGCAGTTTTAAAACCATTCCAGCCTCCAGCTCCAGCACCACGAGACCATCCACGAAGCAGCGACCTATGGCTCCCTGAGGCCCTACAGAGAGAGCCCTTTGTTGGCCAGGGCGCGGAGGACCGAGAGCTTTCACAGCTACCGGGACTTCCAGGCCGTCCACCCGCACAGGGCCGTGGAGAGAGCAGTGCCCACAGATGCGGACGGCCCCATACAGGCCGAGGTGAGGCGGGCGGCAGGGCAGTGCCCCGCGGCCGAGAGCAAGTCTCCTGGGGCAGAAGCCAGGGGCGCGAGGGAGTGGGACAGTGGGCCGGAGGCGCATAGGACAGCCGACGCTGTCCCCGAGTCCAAGAAAAGGCCGTCGGAGGACGAAAGCGACAGCAAAGCGGAGCCGAGGCGGAAAGGAGGGTTCGAGGGAGGCGGGTTCCTGGGGAGGAGGAAGGTGCCCCACCTGGTGTCCTCACCCAGCACTTCGGACGGGGGCACCGACTCACCCGGCACTGCCTCCCCCTCGCCCACGAAGACCACGCCCTCCCCGCGGCACAAGAAGAGCGACTCCTCGGGGCAGGAGTACAGCTTGTGAGAGCTCCCGAGGCGGGTGGGTGGTTCGCTCGGTCGGGGGAAGGTTACCCCTGGATTGCACTAGCGTTCACTCCCGAGCTTTACACATTGGAATTGGACTTCGTTCAGTATCTTTTTAACAATTATCTGGAGCAAGGAGAGCAAAAACTAGAGCTCGATCTTTTTGAAGATTTTTTTTAGAATTTTACAAGAATGTTCAACTGGTCATTTGTAAAGCAGGAGTCCCTTTCAGCGTGTAGAGCTTGGGAATGCGCGTAGTAAGCTCCACATCCTAACAGGACGTCGCCCATACGGGTGACAGCCCGAGCGCGCAGCAACCGCCAGACTACATTCCTGATCTTAATTCTGCCTGAGACCTGTCTTGCGAGGTTATCTTAAGTGAATCACGTAATTCTCTTTGGGACTTAGTCTCTCAACCCTAATGGTGATGGCAGAGTGTTTACCTGATGTTTAATGCGGTGCTATGTTTGTGAGGAAACACCATGTAATTCAAAACACTATTGATGCTGAACCCGGTAGCGGGGAGTCCCGTAGGGCCACTTTAATGGTAGGCCGTCTTCTGATTCTCGTCGGAGGCTTTAAATCTTATCTTAGCAAGCGTCCCCACTAGTAAATGATCCAAGTCCAATTAAACTTTCTTTACAGTTGGAGCAGTTGTCTGTGTTTGAACTGGTAAAATAAAAATAATCATCTAGGACAAAGCTCTGGGTGCCCCGAAGGGAAAACTAGACCAGCTGCTAGTCCCCCTTGTTTGAGGAGCCCCAGTACTTTTCCCATGTTGATCATCAAGATAGTTAAGTTAGAATGTGGCCACTTTGTTAGTTTCTGAGACTAGTTCTGAATTCTTGGTCAATGGTTTGGGCTGTAAAAATGTTATTTTGAATATATTTTAAATTGTAAGAATAAAATAATTTTTTGTATTTTGTTTTCATTTAATTGGAATGATTTTCACGTTTCTGCACATAGGGTAATTGTAAAGCGTTAAACATTACTGGTGGAAAATGTACATATCCAGTCCCAGGAAATACAGTGAGTGAGGCTGAAATAAATGCTTTGAGGTTTACCGTATTGCCAGTGATTCCACAGCCGTTCTCTCATATTTATTTATCAATTAAGTCGAATAAAATGATTAAGACGATCTCTGTTTTCAGTTATTTTAGGAACAGCTATCTGTTTACACCTACAGGCGTGGGCTCATCTCTTCTCGTAACAGAGAAGGAGGGCTTAATACATGTGAAAGGAACTCGCCAAGGGTTGGAATCATCTCTTACCTCTTTTACGTGGGCAAATAAGAAAGTTAAAAAAACCTCAGTACTTCACCCAGCCTTTTCCAAGAGGAAAGGGCCACTGGGAACAGACAGTGAGTGTAAATGTGTGTGGTGCTCTGTGAAGAGGCCTGGAGAACGTCTCCGAGCACTAGGTAAGGAAACCCTTGGGCGGAGCGCTCGGCCTGACACTGGGTTGCATTTTGCAGCTGGGTCCCTTGGAAACTGCCACTGATTAATTCATTTAACCTGCACCCTCACCGCCAGACAGCGAGCGTCGGGTGAAAAGTGCATGGTTTTCAGCCTCCACAAAGCGTGCCTCAGACAACCAGAAAAACAGCATTTCTCAGACCTGTTGGGGAGGGGACAGTTTCACAAACAATCCTGGTTTCCTTCAGGGGCATGTGTGATGTGTCAGTGACAAGCGGCGGGAGCGGGGTGTGCGGCCCGCATTCCAGCCTCACTCACGTTTTGCAGGTGCCCGGGCTCTACAGGTGGGTGTCGGTGAAGGTGGTGTGTTCCTTGGCCACAGAGCTGAAGCCCTTGATGGCCTTCATCAGGTCTTCCTCATCGACGTACTGGAAGGAAGCCAGTCAGAGGTTAGGAGGTTTGGGGCCATCAGGTGCTAGGTCTGCTTCTGAAAAGCCTAATGCTCGACGCCCAGGTGTGGTCCGAGACCCTCCTCACCTTAAATTCACCTTATTGAAAGGATCACATCACATGCACAGGTGACCAACAGGCTAATCCAAAATGTGCACCGTCTGAGGACGGCCTCGTGCCATACCTTAAGCTAAGCCTCAGTTTTCTGGTCTGTAAAGTGGAGTCAATCTATATGTTTAAGATTTAGTTCAAAATGCAAGCAGAAGAGCCAACTGCAAGCTCTTCCCCACGGGTCCCCCTCTCACTGCATTTGTTTACTGAATAGGTTCAGTAACATGAAGGAATAAGCAGTGTGCCGTGTACTGGCATCTTCAGGGGCATTCACGGCACTGCATGCACGCTGCTTGCTACCAGGACAGTGGAAAACGGGCTCTGCGGTCAGAGGATATCTTTAAGGTCCCAGGTCCACGAAAACGACGACTAGCTGTGCGCCCATGGGCGCGGACGCGTGTGCACCTAAGCCCTCCGTGTGCCTGTTGAGCCACGTGAAACTGCCGCCTTGCGCGTCCATCCAATACGCTTAGGTAACAGATTCGTACGTCTCAGCTAGTATAATTATCCCTGCCCCTTAGAAACGCGAGGCCTGAGGCGGAACGGTGGGGTTCAACAGCTCTATGCACATGAGGAGGCGCGTAAAAAACCGTAGCAACACCGGAGGGCTGCCTGGGTGAAGGGGCAGGTGCACCTGAGGCGTGGGCGGCCCCGTCAGGTGCAGGAAGCTCCACGCCACCTCGTGACCCACTGAGACTCGACTGGGGCGTCGGGCAAGGGCTCCGGGTGGGGAGGGAGCCCACTCACCAGTCCGCTGTCGTGACCCAGGATGGTCTCCCACAGCGAGTCGTCGATCAGGACCTTCTTGCCCTGGATGTCCATGAGCTGGCTGACGCTGCGGTGCAGGGAGCCTTGGGAGTAGGCCTGGCTGAGCTGGCTCTGGCTTGGAACCCGGAGCACAGAGATGCTCCGGTTGCTCCGGAGACTCAGGCGCCCCCCGGGCCGCGGGATCTTGGTGTCGGCCAATCCCTGCAGAGAGAGCTGCTGCTGGTGAGCGGCCCAGGTCAGCTGTGCTGTCCCCTGGCTCCCACTACGCGAGCACCTTTGTACTGCGCTTTAAAATGCTTGGATTTGGGCAGGGAAATGGACTCCTCCCTCCCTTTTTTCCAGCCCCTTATCTTTCCCCTTGTTGTAGGATCCCAGCCTCCAAAATAAATCGGGTCTGATACTAACATCAGAAACAAAGGCACTGATTAGGACCTAGCATCAGATTAGGGCCTGGAGTGCGCCTTCGGGAAAGTCTAGCTGCTCCTAGACCTCGGAGGGCTCTGGCTCGGCAGGCCAGCGGGTGAGCCGTTCCTATTTTCACCTTGCAGGCAGCACGCCATGCAGAAGGCCACGCGTTCATGCAGCACACAGAGCTACCTCGAAGTGCATGGTGTAGCTTTTCAGGGTCACGTTGCTGGACACGTCAGATACGTCGGCCACAGAGTCAAACTGAGGACAGACGGGGAGGCAGTGGTCAGCCTTTGCAGCGTTTCAAAGCACACTCATAGAGTCTCCCCGACGATAGCGTAACATGCTCAGACTTTGGCCCTGGCCCACGTGGCTCAGATGGGTGAGCGCTGACCTGTGAGCCAAGAGGTCACAGGTTCTATTCTGGGTCAGGGCTGGATCCCCAGTCGGGGGCGTGCAGGAGGCAGCCGGCCAGTGACTCTCATCATGTTTCTCTCTCTCCCTTCCTCTCTCTGAAATCAATCAAAAACATATTAAAAGAACAACAACATATTCATACTTGAATACTATCCTGCACCAACCACGGGCCTCACCGACACTGCTGCTCTTTCCTGTCCCCAAGGTGCCTGCTCCTTGGGCCTGAGAGTGCTGCCCGGGGCTCAGCCACTGCTCAGTGCTGCGTCCTGGAAAACGGAGACCTGGGAGGCGGACAAGGCTGCCACTCTCCTTTCTCTTCACGTGTAGAAACTTAAGCAGTCTGACCAGACGTCTGTGCTTGGCTGAGATACTCTGACTTAAATACATCTGGTCTTTGTCGGGCCTCTGGCACAGAGCTCCTGAAGCCCTAGGAAATGCCTCCCTGGTGACAGCAGCAAAGCTGCCTTTTTGTTATGTTAATAAGGTGGCTTTGGGCCTCACCTAGAGGGGGCTGGCGGCCAGGAGAACCAACCAGGTGACTGGAGAGTTGGAACTTTCAGTCCCACCCCCTGACCTGGCTGAAGGTTGATTCAGCCTCCCCTGGGCAATGACTGAGTCTCATGCCTAGGTCATGAAACCTCCAGGAAAATCTAGGAGGACTGGTTTGGAGAGCCTCAGGGTCGGTGAACACCTGAAGACTCAGGGACGGTGGCAAACCTGGAGAGGGTGTGGGAGCCTCCTGCCCTTTCCCCAGGCCTCGCCCTGTGCGTCTGGCTGTTCCCGTCTTACCTCCTTCTATGATGGATCGGTGAGCTAGGAAGTCACACGTTTCTCCGAGTCCTGAGAGCCCCGCTAGCAAACGAATGGCCCAAACCCAGGGAGGGAGGGTCCTTGGAACCTCCCATCTGCCTGCCCGCGAGAATCCCTTTCTGGAGTTAAAAACAGAATGCCAATCCCCGGGCTCCACCCAAGAACGGTGAAATCAGACTTTCGGGGATAAAGGCCCAGGCAATGGCATTTTTAAAAGCTTCCCAGGTGCCTTAGTCCATTCAGGTCCTGATAAGAGGACTCCATGGACTGTGGCTTATAAACCACTGACATTTCTCCAGCTCTGCAGGTTGCAGATCCAACACCACGCGCCCGCCTTCGGACGTACCATGTGGGTTTCTCCCGGTGGGTAGACACTCAGTGGGGACGTTCTCTTCTGAACAGGGACCAGGGGAGGCCTCTCTCTGATGTACGGCTCCTGGTTGATCTTCCTTTGCAGAATCAGGGACAGGAAGATGGCCAGCAGGACCAAGCCCAGGATGGCCACCAGCACGATGAACCAGAGCTCGCTGTAGAACTCCGAGCCTCTGCTCCCCGACCCCTTCTTCCCTCCGGGGGTCGTCGGCACCAGGCCTGCAAGACCCGGGGGCAGAGAAGGGACAGGTTATTCCGGGAGGCAGCTGGGCGACCGCCTGCCCTGTCGTTCAGCAGTGAATGGGGAAGGAGTCTGATGCGGTTGGTCTCGGGGTGCTTGTTTGCACCTGTGTTCAGGCTGGGGGGCCCTGAGGAGGAGCTCAGGGCCCCCGGAGACCTGGCTGACACTCAGCGGTTGAAAATCCCTGCTGCCTGGGCACGATCCTGGGAAAGACATCAGTGGGCTCTGGGGACGCCAGCCCTGACTAACACGCCCCTTTCAGGGGTCACCGCAGGACGGGACAGCGAGTGGAAGCTCCCAAACTGAGCCGCAGAGGGTCTCGGAGATCATCTCCAGCCCAGCCCCTGGGGAGGCAAGTGCTGATGGCCGAGAGGAGGGAGGACAGACAGACACAGCTCCAAATGCTCTGGACAGATTTCCCATTTTAACACCTGGACCAGTGGGCAGGCCTGCTTGGCACATCACACCTCTCGGGGGGGGCGGTTAGAGGGAAGCCTTCAGGTCGGGGGGTGAGTATGTTTAAGGAGGGAGACAAGGCCACTAAAACTAAAATGGGACTTCATCAGAACGGATATTACTTGGTGAACCTGAGGTCTACTTCTGATAGCTCCGTGGTCAATAAAAAGTCACTCTGCGTCCCTGGGGCTCTGCTCCCCCGCCTCTAAGATGCAGAATTGGGGAGATCAAAGCTCTGAGGAGGCTCCGGCAGGTTAGAAGTCCCCTAATTAGGAACCAAAGTGCGTTGCTTGATTAAAATAAAACAGCCACCTTGGTTAGGCCCCGGCGGAGCTGGGTCTCCTCTGTGCGTGGTGCGGGGCTGTACCTCTAGCAGTTATCCGAGGGGCCCAGCGGGCCCCCTGCTGCAGAGGACGCCGGGGAATGTAGGGCAGCCTGCCTGAGGGAAGCCTCGAGAAGGAGACAGGCCTCGGAACAGCAGGCGGGGAGCGAGCCCGGCCGGTCCTTTACGCTCGCAGGCTGCCTCCAGGCAAGGGAACCGCACCAGTGGAGAAGTTACATCCCGAAAATTAAAACTGACGACGCACGTTCGCTGGGCAACACTTCTTGGAATTTTCCACGAGGTTGCACAGTCCTGGGTGTCCCTTCTCTCAACCTTGCTTTTCAAAGGCCCCTTTCATTTGAAGGGACTCCACCCATCAGGGGGTTTTGCCCAACATGGGGTCCTGGTCCTTCGGGATGGGCTTGTTAAAAGAGCAGGTGCCTGGGCAACCATGTGACAGACAAGCACCTGGAGGTGACTCTTACGCACACCTAAATTTCAGAATCTTTGCTAAAAAAACACACACACAGAAACGAACAAACAAAAGTACAGGGCCAGGAGCCAACAGAAAAACCACATTCAAGTTCTCCTCTGAGATACAAGCCTGCAGAGCATTCTCTGGGTGAGCTCTGGGGCCCCTCAGGCCCCCGGGTGTCCACAGGGGGAGCCCCTGGAGTTGCTCAAATAATATCAGATGAGATCTGCTCGATTCCACAGCTGCTACTAGACAAGAGGCGATAGGCTATGTGGGGGAACTGCGTTAGGTGTTCGAAGAAGTTTTATGTGGCATCCAGAGATGGAGGGTCTGGAAATATGAGCTAATTTTATTATTTTACATACGGAAACTATCCTTGATAACAGTATGTATGTTTCAAAATTTTTGGACATATTTGCATTAAAAAACCACCAACTATGTATGCATATAAATCGGATATAACATTACTAACTGGGCTCTACAGTATCAGCCCCAGTTCTGTTCTATTGAAAAAGTCGGGTCATTTCTCTAACGTGCCCTTTGAAATTGGAAAGTGTCGCAGATGCTGGATTCAAAGGTCGTGGGCAGGGCTCCACTTAAAAGATGCTCCGTGAAAATTACAATTTCATCTCTTCAGCTGCCTCACTTGGTTTTGCTGGTGGGTCACCATCTTTCACAGAGGATACAAGACAGAGATTGACCCAATTTTACCGTGTTAGGCTCGGAATCTGGATGATCGTCGTTACGATCAACACGACCGGCATCCGAGCCTTTTCTCTCTTTCTCTGACTCTTTCTGTAAATCATTTTTTGGGGAGACAAAGTCGTCCATGTAGCAAAGTCGTTTACCGAGAGGATCTGTGCTTCGAGGAGCTTAGTCACCCCCTCTCTCTGTCCCGGCGAGTCAGTGACTGGGCCTCGAAGGGCATCCCAGCGCCTCGCCTGAGGTCAGCTCCCCGAGGACTTTGGAAGGTTTCGTGCAACGCGTCACCTGGTTCCTCCCGACAGTCTGTGCTAATGTCTCAGCGCAAGTGTGTCTAACACACGCACACGCGCACGCACACACGCTTCGTTAGGAAGCCGGGCAGGGGCGACGCAAAACAACGGGAGGTGAGCACGTACCGAGGCCGGAGGAGACGTCGTACCGAACCAGAGGCGTCCGGGCACTGCCTTCCTCCGTGATGCAGGTGACCTGGAAAAGGAGAGCTAGACAGGGGGTAAGTGGCCGGGTGGCCGCCACCCGCCGACCGCGGGCGCGCTTTCCGCTCAACGGCGATCAGAGCAGGAGACGGTCTGAACACAGAACTCCCGGGCAAACGGGGGCTTCACCCACTAGGCCGACGTGCTTCTAATCTTACAGTTATCGAGGAAGGGGGCTAGAATTAGTGCCCTAAGCGTGTGTGTGTGTGTGTAACAGAACTAAAGAAGCTTAGGGCTTATACAGCAGAGTGAAAGATTATCAGAGGAGGCCCGGCGGGCGGGGCTCAGCGGCTGAGCATCGACCTAGGATCCAGGCGATCGGGGTTCGATTCCCGGTCAGGGCGCAGGCCCGGGTTGCGGGCTCGATCAATGGCTCTCTCATCATTGGTGTTTCTCCCTCTCTCTCCCTCTCCTGTCCTCTCTCTGAAATCAATAAAGATATATTTAAAAAAAAAGAATTATCAGAGGAGAAGGCACGACGCGTGGAGTGTATATTATCCTGCGTGTGGCCCGCGCCTGTTCCCTTAAAACTTCCAGGCGCGCCTTTCACTGGGTGACCCACAGTTGAAGTGGCCTCTTGAGCTAAGACAGGTTAAGGGCCAGCCCCTGCCGCCTGCCGTTCAGAGGGACCGGCTCGTGACGCGCTGAGCAAAGAAAGCCCGACACTCACTCCCGTCCTCGGTCCTCGGCATGCAGAGGGCGGTGTCCAGGCCGCGGTACACGCGCTGGCCCCCGGCGGTCACCACGAACGCCCGCAGGGGGCCGTGCAGGAGGAAGGAGCTGCTCCAGCTGACACACACCGTGGTCAGGTTGCCGGTCACCGAGCACGGGGCTCGGTACTGGGGCGCTGGGGGCGAGAACGCTGAACGTTATGACGATGATGACCTCTGAGTGTGTGTCTGTGTGTGTGTGTGTGCCTTTTTAAAAAATATATATAAGCAACAATTTTTTTTTTTAGCATTGCCGAAATTCTTTATATTGTCCTCAGTGTTTGCAAAAAAAATAGCAACTGGCATTGGAAGAGAAAGAACACCAGTGGAAATGTGTGTGCGGTGCTTTCTCAGCGATATTGCACCTGCTTTCCCCCCCAAAATCAATCGACAGTGGTGTTTTATGAAATAAAGCCATTAACATACAATGGTTCTGCTCACAACACAACCCTGGAGCTCATATTTCCTTGCTTTTCCCTTCTTTTAACAGGTAAAGTGTCCTTAACACTATTAACTACAGTAGATAGCTATTTTTCATATCCAATCAATATTTACTGCTACAAAGCCCCAAGGACTAGATGAAGTTAATATATTTTTATATATATATATATATATATATTTTTTTTTTTTTTTTTTTTTTTTTTTTTTTTTTTTTTTTTTTTTTTTCTC